TAATTGAACCTGAATTTGGACACGTTTTGCTTTACGGAATTCCCCCTTACCTCCTTTTCGCCACTCCTCCCCCTCCCCACTCTCCCCCCCCCCGTTCCCAGCACCTAAAACTATAGGAAATCGAAGCTATCAAAGCCTCTACAGTCTGGTCCTCAGCTTCAAGAGTAGTAATTCGAGAATATCCTCATAAAAAAGTCCAAATTCCCAACCGTTTCATAGGCCCATAAACGCTTCTCTCTCTTGTTTTTTATTTTTATAGCGAGGTCTCTCTCCTCCCCACTTCCCTCCTCCCCTGCCCCCTCCCATCCTCCCAGCCCACGACCAAGTCCTGAAATTTCAGCAGTTCTGCTTCCTGACCCTGAGAGTCTCCAAGCCCCTCATTACCCTCTCCAGCGCCCTTCTCCCTCTCTCGGAGTTCAACCCTGCTGAGGCGAATTCACAGGGTGATGCTGGGATAGGAAAAGCCTTTCTCCTCTCCCCAGGGAGCTGCTGGCCTTGGGGACAGACTCCCCTATATCTTAGCTCCCCTGTTTGGCTTCCAGTGCCCCTCTCCTCCTGCCAGCCCCAGGACAGGCTCTGCAGGAGCCAAGCCTCCAATTTCAGGTTTATGGGAGTAGCTGAGGGCAAGAAGGGAAGCCTTCAGAGGGGTATAATTAGGCCCTGGCCCCTTATGGGGCTGGAGGAAAGGATTTCCTGCAGCCCCCTCCTGGGACTCCCCCAGACACTTCCTCACACCCAGGGGCTGCACCCCCTCCCCTGCTGTTTCCCCTTCCTCCCTCTTTCTCTGGCCCTGCAGCTCTCACCTGTCCCCCCACCTACTCCTGCCTTTCTTTGCAGAAAGGCTCCTGTTTCCCTGATTGGGGTGTGTGTATGTGTATAATTCTCTAATCTGGGGAGATGCCTCTCCTCACTTCTCACCCCTGACCCCCATTCCTAACCCTCTCTTATGCAGACCCTCAGAAGAGGACTCTCAAGTTTAAGGAGACTGGGACCCCACTTATCTCCCTCAACTCTGAAAGTCCTGATCTCTCCAAGTTCCCAGGCTGTGAAAGCCCCCAGACCCCTCACCCAGTGCTCCTGGGGGAGAAGCCCATGGACCTTCTGCTTTATGAATCTCTAGTGGGGTGAGGACCCCTATGCTGTCTAGGAGCTAGGGGTAGCTCTTCTCCCTGGGGTTATTTCCTCTCTGCCCCCAGTGCCCTCCTCATCTCTCCTCCATCCCACCTCAAACCATAAAATGAACCTCGCCCCTACCCCATCCTCTAGCCTTGTCTGCATTTCTTCGAAAGAAGCGACTGAGCCAAAAAGCCTGGGCTGGGGGCGTGGGGGCGGGGGCTCTCATCAAAGCCAGCTCCTGGGAGAGGAATCCCCCTCAGCCCTCTCCCAACCTGGCTCCCTGGGCCCCCTTCTCAGACCTTCCTGCCCCTAAAAGCTCCCCAAGGTAATTCGCTTTTATTGAGTCCTCGCCCCCTCGCCCTCACCCCTCTCCCGCGCTCCCTGCGCCGCTCCGAGGGGCTGTAATCCGGCTCCCCCCGCCCGTCCTTCCCCTCCCCTCCCGCGCGGGTTGTAAAGGAAAATTGCTCCCAACTTACTGGGGTCCAGGTCGGCCTTCTCCTCTTTGTGCTTGCTGCCGGCGAGGGCGTCCGCCTCGGGCGAGGGCAGGGTCTGCGGGGCGCGGTCGCGCAGCTCCCCGGGCGAGCCGTACATGTAGTCCGGGTAGCTGCGGCCGTCGCCCGGGCCGCAGTCGGCGCGGCGCCCGGGGTAGGCGTCCGGCTTGAGGGCGTAGTGACGGCCCCCGGCCGGGAAGCTGGGGAAGGAGACGGCGCCGGACAGCGGCTCGAGCCAAGTCCGCATGTAGCGCGCGTCGGCGCCGAGGTGGGGCTGGGGGCCGTACGGGTGGTAGACCACGGACGACTGCGAGGGCACGGGCGCCCACGACGTGCTGAACACGGCCGGCTTGGGCGCGAAGCTACAGGACGGAAAATCGCTACAGTCCGGCACCAAACCGCTGGGTCTGGCGGCCGCGGGGTGAGCCCCCGTGGCCGGAAACCTGGACGCTAGGAGGTCTTCATTGTCGTGAGAGATGAGCGAGTCCACGTAATAGTTACTGATGGGCCCCGTCGCCGACATCGTAACAGGGTTTTACATACATAAGATTATTGTATGAACTGTATATGTACTTTTTATCTGCTCACAGAACAATCAAGGCAGGTAATTATTTTTCCAGCCTTTTCCCCGCAGCTCATTGGCTCCCTGGCCCCCACGTGATCGTATTTACCCAAAAATACGGCGCGGATCAATGCGCAGGGGCTTTTTTTCCTGGCTTTTTTTTTCCCTTCTCCCACCCCCTTCTTTCTGCTGATCCCCGCGACCTGCGTTTTCCTGGGGGTCCGTCACTCTGGACCCAAGGACCCGGCCACCCCCTCAGGACAACTCGCATCTAAGCAGAGAACCCCCTGGCCCATGTCCACCCATAAGCAGATGGCCTCCGCCTCCACCCCCAGGAGGATTTCTTAATGGGGTGAAAATGCCAGTCCCTGAAGCCAGGGTTCCCGGACCCCCGGGGCCGAGCTGGGCGCGGGAGCCCCACAGGGGCTGAGAGGCCGGGCCGAGGTAGGTGGAGGAACTATTTCTTGACGTAATCCGTCTCTGTCGGCCCCTACGCTCCCGCAGTCTCTGCGCGAGCCGAGATCAGCGATTGTCAGTTCGGAACGTGGCTTTTAAAAATGCGTTTTTAAATAGTGTGTATGTATGTATTTCTTTCAGGAGCAGCAGCAGCGAGGGAGGGAGAGTGGGAGGGGACTGGGGAAGCTGGGGTGGAGGGAGGGAAGCAGGGAAAGGGGAGCGTCCTTCTGCCACTGGCCAATTCAGCCCCCCAAATCTAGGGTAGGGGAAGATTGGGGAAAGTGGTCCACGGGTGGGAGGGGTAGGACCTCGGGACCTGTACACTTGTGTTACTAGAAGTCCTCTCTTTGCTTTGGCACAGATATGCAAACGCCTTCATTTTAAATTTATTGTCTGTATCTATTTATCTTTCTTTGCCAGCCTGAAGAAGTGGAGGAGAGGTCTACACAACTTCAGTGGGGTGACCCCATCCCTGCTGCTTGTTCACCCTCCTTTGCCCCCAACTGCATCTCTGAGACATCCGGCCCCCCGCCCCCCAAAAAAGAAGTCACTCCAGGGCTCTGTCTGCAGAGAGCCAGGGTGAGAGCGGGCAAGGCGAGAGAGCGACCTCAGTCGTGGGCAAGTAGCTTGTTTTTACGTCCTTCAATAAAAATTTTATGAGGATCATTTGATTGTTCATAAATGTGTCTTTCATTAAATAAAATTGTAGGCTGTTTTTGGAACGAGAAAAAAGCTACGGAGGAATGGGGGAAAGCAATTTCTTGGGAGTCAGAAGCAGGAATTCTGGAAGGGGCAGTGTGATTGTAGGGAAGATCACACAACTTGGAGTCCTCCCCCCAGTAAGTTGGTTGCTACCCTCCTCCTCAAATTGGGGGTTCGTTGCCCAGCCCTCTGCTTTCCCTCAGACTGTCTCATGGTGGTTTAGTCAAGGTGGGCTTTAGGCAAGCAGGAAATTCTCAATGTGTGTGCAAGAGAGGGGGCAGGGAAGTTGGCTGGGGGTGGAGGAGAAGGGCAGGTGATGTCCCCAGAGACAGATGCACCCTAGGCATGGCAGAGTGAGTTTGAAGGAGGGGTGCAATTCCACGGTCAGCAGGAAGGAGTTCAGTTTGCACTAGGGGAGACAGGCAGGAGCTGAGTCTAAGACACAGGCTCTGAGACAGCAGGGAAGGACAAGGCTTCCCAGACCTGAGACGCCTGCCCTTCTTCCCCACTCCTGTCCCTAGGAGGGGACCAAACGCCAGGAGTGGGGGTGGAGGCTGCTTTTTTCCTGCATCTCTGCCGGCCTGATTCCTCTGGGGAGGAGAAGGGCTAGAGAGAGAGGTGTCCCAGAGAGTGTAGTTTGTGTGTTTGGGGAGGGAGGAAAGTTGAGGGGGGGAGGGTAGATCTGCAGCCCCGAAGCACTGACCCCAGCCTGCCAGGCCCCCTCCCCAGTCCCTGCTCCTCCCCCTCTCCGGTTCTTTCCTTTTCGGTCAAGCGGGGCTGGGATTTCGACGCATGGGGGGGATGTGAGAAGTGCCCGGCTGGGAAGAGGCGACCCAGGGCCTCAGCCTCTTCACCCTCGGCGGCTCTGTCTTCCCCTCCCCCGGACTGGACTGGTCTGGGAAATCCAAATTACAGCAAGAGACAGAATATCTCTTTGGCCTTGATGGAGTCGGGTTAGCTGTCAATCAAAAATTCTCCCTCACTAGTTCAAGGAAAAGACAGGAGGTTCCTGTCCCCCTGCGGAGGCTTCCTCCAAATCCCCAACGCCATCAACACCTCCCCCAGCCCAGGCGGAGCCGGTGACCCTGCCTGGCTCTTAGGTGGCTGCTGGCAGCGCTGAGCAGAGACGTGTAGCCTTCAGAGGGCCCGGGGCCAGACTGCGACCAAGAGGATATCAAGGGACAGAGGCTGAGAGAGACTGAGCTTGAGACAGCCTGAGACAGCACGACTGAAGCATGGCGCCAGGCCCATAGAGAGGAAGGAAGGAAGGAAAGAAGGAAGGAAAGAAGAAAACGAAGGATGAGGATGAAAGAAAGCAAGAGGGGAGAATTCCAGAAAAGAGGGGATGCAAGATGAAAAGCGAGAGGAGAGCAGGGAAAGGAAGGCATGCGGAGAGCTAGCTGGAGGAAGGGCGGCGACAGGCAGGCAGGACAGGGCAGGGCGCGGGCTGGCGGAGCAGCCGTGGCATTGTGCAGCCCGCTGGCCGGCCGGGCCTTTGCCGCGGGACCGGCTACGGGCGCAGCGGCCACTTCTGTCCGGACACAAAGGAGGAAGAGGCCTCCTCTCCTGCCCCTCCCGGGCGACCTGCTGGGGTGGGTACAACAGGACTCTGGGATATGGAACCCTATCTTGGCTGCCCAGGCGGCTGGGGGCCGAGCCACGCTCTCATCAAGGAGCAAAGAAGACATGTGGAAGGAGAAGGTTTCACGCCCGCTTCTCCTTTGCATCTTCTCCAGGCGACAGGGCCCATCTGCCCCAACCTCAGTCTTCCTAGAAGAAAGTTGCCCCAAAGCCCCTCTCCTATGGGCCTCTACTACTGGGGAGGCCCCCACCAGACATAATGGTTATAAACAGATGCCCCTTTCTCTCCTACCCCCTTTGGCCACCGCCTTCTTTGCAGCGCTGGAGCGGCCTGCCCACCCTGCCTGCCCACCCGGCAGAGGCAGCAGCAGTGGGGCAGCTGGGATCACCAGGCCCATGCTCTCCGCTGCCGTCAAATTCCCTGTGAAACCGAGGGGAGATTGTCACCTTCCTTTCAGAGCGTGAACTCAGACCTTCCCCACTCAGACACAGACACAGCTGTGGATCAGGAAGCAGGCCTCGCCCACAGCCCCCTCCCAACCAATGCCCCATTTTGCCTAGGCCTTGCTGAGAGAGGCGGCCAGGAGGAGGGGGGCTGGAAGCGGCTGGCAGCCCCTGACTTCACCAGGCTGAGGTCTCTCGGTTCCACAACTGCCTGTGGGTTGTATCCCCATTCTCTGCATTTGGAGGTGGGGTGGCAGGTCACGGCTCTAAGGCAGGCCTTCAGGCTCCCCCAGTCCAGGCCTGTAGGTGTGGGGGTGTGACAGATGTGGGGACACCAAGAAGGAGTGGTTTGTCTTCCCAGATTGTTACTCCTGCTGAATCTCCCACCAGTTACCCAGACTTCCTCTCACCCCCACCACTCCCTTCAATTTTCATCAGCACCAATGGGGCAACCCAAGGGACCAGAGGCCACTGGGAGTCCCTGTTTGGGATGGGGAAATCCCAGCTTTAGTTAGCAGTTCTGCATTCACTCTGGTGCTCAGAGCTCTCCTCTGACCCCAAAAGACTGCACTGGGCCCAGGAGAGCCCCTCAAGTGGGAGGGGCCCCCTTACTGCATCACTTCAGACCTGTGCAGCTGAGACCAAGCTAGTACCACCATGGGAAGGACAGACAGACAGAAAGACAGGCAGGTTAGAGTCATCCCCTCCCCTTGCCCTGCACCTCCCTTTCAGTGATTTAAATTCCCTCCGGTTCAATCCACACCGTCAAGTTCGGTTTAAATTTAAAACAGGCTTTTCCCGGTGCCCCAGCGGGCCATCCCTGCCGCCCCGCCACAGGCAGGGCGCCCGCTCCAGGCTCGTCAACACCCGCCCGCGCGGAGGAGGCCTCGCGTGCTCCATTTGCTTTCATTTTCCTTCTCCCCCTGAACTGGGCTCAGTTCACCTCTCCGCTGCCCTCTCCTCCCCGCCCCCTCTTTGGTTCCCCTCGACTTTCCCCCCTTTTCTCTCCTGATCCCTCTTTGTTGGGAAAAACACACCCACACACAACTCCTCTTAGCTCAGGCCTGTGCTGGAAGCAGAAACTGAATTCTCCTGGCCTGCCGCGAGGAGACCCGCGTCCTGCCCCCACCCCAGGTGGGTATCCCGGATCCCTACACACCAGGAGTCCAGCCCCTAAGCCCAGCGGGAGTGAAACCTCTAGGGCCTGTGAACGTGGCCCTCTCAACGCCACGGCCTGCATTCCCGCCGGCCCCGCAGCAAACGGGGCTATTTCCGGCTCCCCCAACCCCGTCTGGTTTCCCAGCCTGGGGAGTGGCTGGAGGGGGAGCAGCCCCTAGAGCAAGGGGTGCCCTCTGCCTGGAGTCTCCGAAGCCCTGGGCGCCTGGTTACCTGATCTTTGTGTGATGTGTGTGTCGCAAGGAAATTTGCAGTGACTTTGGAGCCCAGACTGAGGAAGCCGAGGTGGCGAAAGGAGAGACAATACGGGTCCGAAGTACAATTAAGGGGCCCGAGCCGCTAGTCTCTCCCCCGCCCTCCCTGCCAGACTGGGAGCTGTCTGGCCTCAAACCTCAGGGCAACCCGCGAACCTAGAGCCGGAAACTCAACCCATGGCGGAGGGAACCAGAGGATCCGGCATCCAGAAAGCAGGAGGGACGCTCCCTTCCAACTGGGGGGCGCAGCAACCAGCCCCGCTGAGTTGCAGAGAATCCAATGAATGAAAGTGCACATTCCGACGAATTTTCCCGATTTTTTCAAACCTTTGGAAGGACAGCATAGGGTTTGGGCTGTCTCAGATGGACAGACAGACAGACAGGCAAACCGCATCTCCGGAGGCAGACAGACTCACAACATGAGTGTGAGCCTTAAATCAAATACAGGTTCAACATTCCCGAGGCCTCTCTGCCAGGCCGGCGGGCGCCGATTTCCCTACCTTCTCTCCCTTCCAGGGCGTTGGGCAGAGGCCCGGAAGACTCGGTCCCTCTGGCTTGGTCCAATCCCGCCTCGGGAAGCGCCTTCGTTACCTGCTCCTCGGCTCCCCATGGCCACAGATGCAGGGCAGCCGCCTCCGCCGGGGGAGGGAAGCCCTGGCCACCGCAGCCGCGGCTGCCCGCCCTCCTTCCCTCCCTCCCTCTT